CTGTGTTGTTTGTTTTTGTTTTAACAAAGTAAATACAATTTGATTTTTTAAAAAATGAATGATTTTTTGTGTAACAATATTATAATAAACTACAATAAGATCATTAATAATTTAAATTTTATTTGTTATCAGTTTAAACTAATAACAAAACAAATTAAGACATAATAATAACAGCACATCAATTTGATCAATGATAAATTTAATGGTTACAAAATCGAACACGAAAACATTGTAAAAAATTTAAAAACAAACTCTAATGTACAGATTAAAGAATTAAATGACAAAAAATATTGGGGATTAATTGTTTTAAAAAAATAGTTTAGTTTTTTTTTAATTTTTTAATTTATTTTTTAACAATATCTATAAATTATTAGAATAATTTACTTAAAATAAATATGTCATACAATTAATTTTTGTCACTTATTAATTAGTCTATTTCTATGTAGAGGTTTCAACATTGGTTATAATTGTAATTAAGTTATAATGACATGATATATAAATGTTATTGGCCAAAAATAATAGTATTTTAGACAACACAAATAACAAATTAGTTATCATAATATATATACAGCGGTGGTATAAACCCACTTAAGTCAGTAAATTATGTGAAACTTTGGTTGAACTTTAAGCCAAAATAGAACAAAACATAAGTATCACCCTTTATAAATAGGAAAATGGGTTTGATTGGGTCTTTTCTTTGTTTTTTGAGAAAAAAGCCAATTTTGCTCGAGAAGAAAAAAATATTTGAAATGGTTTTTTATTTTAATTAAAATAAACTTAAAATATAGCTTTTGTTTTTTTACAAAATTCGTTTCGAATAGTATTTTCTTTTGACAAAAAGAAGCTCAAAAAATGTTCAAAAAGTGAAAAAAAACAAGTAAGAACACAATAGACAAGCTTGAAAATAAAAGCCGGATTGAATTTGTGGTCTTTTTTGTGCACATCATTTCAATGATTGTTTGTGAACAAATAACATTTAAAAATATTTCATAAAAGTTGTTGTTAAGATTCAAAAGAAGATAAAAATTAAAAACTTAAAAAGAGTGAATTGATAAAGACGAGAATTCAAACAAAAACAATAACAAATAAATAACATTTAAGGAACAATTAGTGAAAAAACGGGATAATACGAAGAATTGAATTTTTGGAGATTGAAATCGAATTTATTATTTTTTAATTTAATAAACTTCAAAGTCGGTATTTTTAAATTAAACTTTTGAGCTTTTGTTGAAAACTGTTTTAAAGAAACATTTGGACCAAAAATTGAGTTACATTTTGTGTAAATTGTAAAATGTAATTTTTTACACAAAAATGTAATAATCGTACACTTTTTGGTCAAATACCAAATGAATTTCGGATTCGACAAATTTTCCACTCAAAGTGTTAAAAACATTGTTTAAACTTGAAAAGGACTTTAAAAATTATAAAGTCTTCACCAGAACAAGTCAACATAGATACTGTCCCAAGTTTTGCAAATGTTGTGAAATAAATATAAATTAATTATTTTTTCTTTTTTCTTTTTTGTTTTTTTTTGTTTTTAAAATGTTATTCTTAATAAAAAATAATTTATTATTATTAAAATGTTTTTGTTTAATAATATAATTTCAGTTTTTTTAATTTTTTGTTATTTCCAAAAATAAAACCAAAATTTACTCACTTAAGTGGGTTTATCCAAATTAAGTACATAAATATTGCCACAATATATATGTTGTTTTTCAATTATTTTATTTTAAACCGTAGTTCAAAAGTCTGTACCGCAGATTTTTAAAACTTCCTAAAGTCCTGTTTTTTATTTTTCCTAAAAACAAAAAAAATCGAAAGTACAGACTTAATTTTGAAAAAAATACCAATCCTGTTCAATTATTTTCGTACAATATCGGGAATTTATCGGAATATTAGCCAGCCTTTTCCAAAAAACCCGATCCCGTTATTTAATTTGACCACAACTCGATACTTCACAACACAAACTCAACTTTGTTGGTCAAATCATACAACGATAAACACGTTAATAAACTGGGATGTTGTTGTTTGTGTCGAGTTTTAACTGAATATTACTTTCGTTAGTTTTTCATTTTAATTAAAAACAAACATGTGGTTTTGTTCTTAAAACAAAAAAATGAAATAACAAGTTTTAAAGAAAAAATAAATAAGAGCAAACAATTAATAATTTTGTGTTTTGATATTTCAGTCATTGTTGTGACAACACCATCAGTATATCGATATTACGCGATACTTTAGCGCTTGTTATTTATTTTATTATTATAAATGAAGACTCGACTTTGAAAATTTTTGGCATTAAATTTATCAGCTTTTTATAATAAAATGCACTTTTGGGATCATTCACGTGTATTTCAAAAACAAAAATCCGGTTATTTCAAATTTTATATGGAATTTTTTAATGCTTAAAAATTCTTCAAGTAAAAAAATATTTTTTGAAGACCGTTTTTCTCTTTTTTACTTAAAAAAATAAGTGAATTTATTACAAAAACGATTCCAAAAATAACATACAAAATAAATGCAAAAAATCGGGACACCCCAGCACAGACTTTTGAAAACCAGTTTATTATAATGATTGTTATAATCAATCATAAAATATATAATAAATTACTACCAATTATATTATTCAAAGTTTTTTAAGTTTGTTTACAATTAAAAATACTAAACAATTTATTATTCTTTTGTCACACATTGTATAATGTATCCAAAACAGCTATTTTTCTCGACTTAAATTGATGTTTTATATTGTTGTTTTACCATGTAAGATAATTAATTTAATGTTATTGTTGTGTTAATACAATAACAAACAATATTAATAGTAAGTAGTGGGTTTTTATCGTAATATTTGTTGTTATTTGGTTTTCTGAGTATTTTTAGTTTGAGTGGAATCCATTTTTTATTTTAAAAACAATATTTTTGTCATGTTGTTATTTTATTTTGGTGTGAACCAATATTATTGGTTATATCAAACCTACAATCTTGCACATTTTTAAGTGTTTTTTATTTTTTTAAAAAAAACTTGAATATTTGATAATATTATTTAATCAAGTTTTATTAACATTTTTATTTATTTTTAAAAACAGATTATTTTCGTTTTATTTTTATTACAAATATTAATTTGTTAAATTATATATTTTATTGATTGAATGACGAATCTTTAACAAAACCCCATTAATTTGAGTTTATGAATGATGAAATGTTTTATAAATAATTCAAAAGTTTGAATTTGAGTTGAACTATTTGATCAAATAAGTCAAAAATCGGTCTAAATTGTTCAAGAAAAGTCGCCATTATTTT